TAAACTATGTAGTGAGACCTTGTCTTAAAAAACAAAAACAGCATTTCTAGTTAAAACTTGAGAAGCACTGGCCACCTAAACAGTAAAAAAGATAAAAAAAACTTTCCTAGCGCTACATTGTCCACATTCTTTATGAAGAAATCAATTAGAGTCGATCTTAGCTTAGAACAAACCGTGCCCCATTAGGAGCAAGCTGGGCTCCTGAAACCCGTCGAGCTCTGATGCACCTTCATAGGAGGTAGGCCCCAGACTTGTGTTCTGTTGGCAAAATACCAGTACTTTTCTGTCTGCCATTTTGGGTATAGGATGACTAGTCAGGAAAGGTAAAATCAAGTTTGCCTTAATGGCAGTCTATTGTGGCAACTCCAAAGCCTGAATTCCTTTTCCATTTCCTTTCATACTGTGAAACCATAGTAGAAACCCTGGTGAAAATTTTCAGCAGGAAACACATCTGAGGGCTAGGGGTGTAGCTCAGCGACACAGCACCTGCCTGCCAAGCGCGAGGTCCCAAGTTCTATTCCCAGAACAAAAAAGAAAAATCTGAGCCAGGGACAGTAGTGCACACCTGTAGTCCTAGCACTCAGAGGCAGAGGATCGCAAGTTCAAGCCCACCCTGGACAATTTAGCAATATTGCCTCAAATTGAAGGTTTGTGTGTGCGTGTGTGCACACCCGTGAAACCCTGGATTTAATCTCCAGTACAAAAACAAAGCAACCACATCTGACACCGGTAGTTATTTATAAGCAATCATGGGTGATCAATAGTGCACCAGAATTTTTTTTTTTTTTTTTTTTTTTTGAGACATGTCTCGTGACATTGCCCAGGCTACAACTTAAAAACACTAGTTTGAATTGAAGTTAGCTTTCTCTTGAAATCTATCCAGAATATATTGCCTTCAATTACAAGTTACTGTATGGAAAAGTGCACTACTTTATCCTTAAGTTTGTAAATTGCTGTCCAGTGAGCCAGCCTAACTGCCAGTAGGTGGTGCTCAAACCCAATTGTCCAAGCACACACGTAAGTGCTATTTCCCAGAGAATCTAAGCGTGTAACTGGCAACAAGCTTCCTGGGACTGCCCGGCTATGCGGTAGAATTCCTGCATGGACTCATGCCTGCAGGTGAAGCACCATCTTGAACTGTCAACTTCCATTACCAGCTACCGGTCAGCTGCTTTTCAGACAAAAACTTATGAAGCAAAATGTTAAGCATCAATAGGACAGGCCAGGCTGGGTGTAATGGCGCACCCCCAAGGCCAGCCTGAACTACACAGAGAGCTCTCACCAAAATTAACTACATGTGGCACCTCACGCCTGTAATCCCAGCACTTGGGGAGGCTGAGGCAAGAGGCCAGCCTCAGCTACACAGTAAGACCTTATCCCAAGAAAACCAAAAGCACGAGCATCTGGTCATTTGATTTATATATAGTCCTCAATACCTCACACTGTACCCTTAGTAGTAGCAAGGCATTTTATCCAGTTTAGACCTAGAAGTGAGGTGAAGTAATATCGTCAAACTATGGGGAAAAAAAAAAAACAAAACTTTCCTATGGTGGCGACTTTGTTGGTTATGGCCCTGGTACGTCCTTGAGTACCCACTGAACTCAAAACACTGCTGGTAACTTGCAACTAGTTGTTACAATGTGCTTAGCATAAATTTGCCATATAGAACATGCTGTGTAATTCTGCTAATCTTTCGAACAGGATTGAAATTTCTCAGGATGGAAGTTTACTGTGTTGCTCTTATCCCACTCAAAACTATTCAATGTATCCAATACAGGTGTTTCTGGTCAACGTCTGGTCAGTTATAACCAAAGCAAATTACCCTTTAAGCTTGTGTCACCTGATTTATCTCCTAGTGACTCTTCAAATCCCGTTTACTAACTACTCTCTGTATTGTCTCTGATTCAACTTAAAGGGTGTCTTAAAAATCACTTCAAACCAGAAGTTCCTTTTCAAAATGTGACTGGCTGAGGTTGGGGAATATAGCTCAGTGGTTTGGTCCTGAGTTTGATTCCTGGTACCACCTGCTCCCCAAAAATAAAAATGTGACTGGCTAGGGACTACTCCCAGCCGAGGGAGAACTGGGCCAAGGCCTCAGAGTTCAATTCCCCATCCTGCTTAACGGCCCTGTTCCCACATACTGTGACCTCCAGATTGGCACATGTTAATCAAACTCTCCACCCAGCTGTGTTCCTATTCTCCCTTCTGCTCTACAAAACTACACACAACCTCTGCTGGGCATGGTGGTGCACACCTATAGGCTGAGGCAGTACAAGCGATGGGCTACATTTCAAAGAAAAAAAAAAAAAAAACCCACATCAAGCATTATGTTTTCATTTTCCCTAAAATCTGGGTATATTTCACTGTTTCTTAAACATTACACTTAAGATCCCACAGGACAGCCTTTTCTTAGAATGCAGAGTAACAAATTTACAGCCACACAACACAAATTTGATGTTTTATAACTCCTACATACTGTGAATTACACAAATACATATTAGTCTTGCTATAGGAATTGGTGCATCAACACAGCCCTCTACCCCATCTCACTACTCAGAACAGCCCCCTTCCCAGATTTGAAGCAGCCAGAACCGGTATTGGTATTAAGACACTGCCGTTGTGGTGACCAAGAGACACAGGTTTCTCATTAAACTTTGTTTTAATGGGTCTCAAAATTCTGTGACAGGTTTTTGGTCAAGTTGTTTCCATTAAAAAGTGTTGATTTTAAAAACTAATAACTTAAAAACTGCCACACAAAAAAAAAATGGTCCACAAAACATTCTCCTTTCCTTCTGAAGGTTTTACGATGCATTGTTATCATTAACCAGTCTTTCACTATTAAACTTAAATGGCCAATTGGGAGAAAGAGTTCTGAGACCGGTCTTCCACCACTGATTAAGACTGGGGTGGCAGGTGTTAGGGGTAATATTCATTTAGCCTTCTGAGCTTTCTGGGCAGACTTGGTGACCTTGCCAGCTCCAGCAGCCTTCTTGTCCACTGCTTTGATGACGCCCACAGCAACTGTCTGTCTCATATCACGAACAGCAAAGCGACCTAATAAAATACAATTTTGACCATGAGGAACACTGGTTGCACAGAATTCTCTAATTTATAATTACAGGTAAGTAATGTCCTTACCCAGAGGTGGATAGTCAGAGAAGCTCTCAACACACATGGGCTTGCCTGGGACCATGTCAACAATGGCAGCATCACCGGATTTCAGAAATTTGGGTCCATCTTCCAGCTTCTTACCAGACCGGCGATCGATCTTTTCTTTCAGCTCAGCAAACTTGCAAGCAATGTGAGCTGTGTGACAATCCAGTACAGGAGCATAGCCGGCACTGATCTGGCCAGGATGGTTCAGGATAATCACCTTAGGGGAAAAAAAAGTACTCAGCACACCTCAGAGACGTTAGGGTCAGACTAAAGCTGGAAGCACCTTCCTGTGAAGTTACCTGAGCAGTGAAACCAGCTGCTTCCATTGGTGGGTCATTCTTGCTGTCACCAGCAACATTGCCACGACGAACATCTTTGACAGATACGTTCTTGACGTTGAAGCCCACGTTGTCCCCAGGGAGAGCTTCACTCAAAGCTTCGTGGTGCATTTCAACAGACTTCACTTCAGTTGTGACATTGACTGGAGCGAAGGTGACCACCATGCCAGGTTTGAGAACACCAGTCTCCACTCGGCCCACAGGAACTGTGCCAATACCTGCGTATTTACAACATGGTATCAAGCCCTTTACGTGAAAGCAGGTGCTTACCAGGCTGATGGTATCAAGTGTATTCAAAATTAAAGTAGATCCTGAAAACACTCAACCTACCACCAATTTTGTAGACGTCCTGGAGAGGCAGCCGCAAAGGCTTGTCAGTTGGGCGAGTGGGTGGAAGGATGCAATCCAGAGCTTCAAGCAGTGTGGTTCCACTGGCGTTGCCGTCTTTCCGAGTTACCTTCCATCCCTTGAACCAAGGCATCTGCAACACAAAGTTTCCAGTCCACCTGAGCAACTCACCATTTCAACCATCACTGAGCTTTAAGCTGCCTTGAACGTCTCACTTACATTCGCACTCGGCTCCAGCATGTTGTCGCCGTTCCAACCAGAAATTGGCACAAAAGCTACGGTGTCGGGGTTGTAGCCGATTTTCTTAATGTAGGTGCTGACTTCCTTAACAATTTCCTCGTATCTCTTCTGGCTGTAGGGTGGCTCGGTGGAATCCATTTTGTTAACACCAACAATGAGTTGTTTCACACCCAGCGTGTAGGCCAGAAGCGCATGCTCGCGGGTCTGCCCGTTCTTTGAGATACCAGCTTCGAATTCA